TAGAATTTTCGTGATAAACCAGATTTTCCATAATGGTGAAACCTCTCCATCCCTCCTTTTTTTTCATCCCCTCAATATACTAAATTGATACTTATTTTTTTTTTTAATTCAAAATAACACCAGTTCAATTGAAACGTAGGAAATATAAAAATTTTAACTCTCATTTTTTCTCTATACACCTAAGCGCATGCGGATGCTATAAATAGGAATAAAAGACTTGTAATGACCTAACCGAAAAAAAATATTGAAGGAGGTTGAAAGGGAATACTACTTATATATTTTCTCCTTACAATTATAAGACAGATAAGTGAGAAAAATAGAAAGAGGAATATTCACTGAGTGCCTTTGGCATTCCAGTAATTAAAATTTAATTATAAAGATTTATTAATAAACATCTAAATATTTCAAAAAAGAAGGTTCAAACATTGAACACTATGTGCCCTTTTATTTTTTTTTTTATATTTTTGAAAAATAAAATACATTTAAAGATCTAAAATATGCATGTATAAGGTTCAAAACGTTATAAGAACGTTATGACTTTTTAACGTTATTTTGACGTAACGTCATTGTGTACCAACACCGTGCGCAACGTCATAGTAATTCTAAACCAAAAGTTTATTTAAGCTGGTAACAGCTAGTAGTTAGCACAACGTTGGTCCATTGTTAGCATGGGTATTCTTTTGTTTGAGTGTTCCAAAGTTTGGATATCACAAATTAAAATGCAATTTGAATTACTAGTAATTTCCAAGGAAGTGGGGATTTCTATGTTGGCCCAGCGTTGGCCCAACGTTTATAGTAATTCTAAACCAAAAGTTTATTTAAGCTGGTAACAGTACGTTAGCCCAACGTTGGTCCATTGTTAGCATGGGGATTCTTTTGTTGAGTGTTCCAAAGTTTGGATATCACAAAATGCAATTTGATTTACTAGTAATGTCCAAGGAAGTGGGGATTTCTATGTTGGCCCAGCGTTGGCCCAACGTTTATAGTAGTTTATTTAAGCTGGTAACAGTACGTTAGCCCAACGTTGGTCCATTGTTAGCATGGGTATTCTTTTGTTTAAGTGATCCAAAGTTTGGATATCACAAAATGCAATTTGATTTATTTTCCAAGGAAGTTGGGATTTCTATGTTGGCCCAGCGTTGGCCGAACGTTTATAGTAATTCTAAACCAAAAGTTTATTTACGCTGGTAACAGTACGTTGGCCTAACATTGGTCCATTGTTAGCATGGGCATTCTTTGTTTAAGAGTTCCATATTTGGGAATATATCATATATATTGGCCATGAAGTTATATTTTGCTCCTAAGTTGGGAACATAACACTGCGCCAACGTTTGACCGACGTTTGTAAAACCCCTTAAGCTGGTACATATTTTTTTAAAAAAAGTTGACATTAGTATGTTGGCCCAACACAGACCCAATGTTATCAATTGTGTTTTTTAAGTTGGAGTGAGTGCATTGGTACAAAATACGGGTGAAAAATTATTTGTTTAAAATAATAAGCTATATGGGTTTATTGAAAATTAATAGAAGACCAAATTAATGTATGCGATATGAAAAAGAATTGTTACAACAGCAAAGATCCAAGGGACAGGATGTGAATGAAGCTCAAATATACATTAATCAAGATATACCTCAACCAGCCTTATAATTACATTGAAACAAAAGTTAGGCGATTTGCTGAAACTGGGAGAGTCGCAGCAATTAAAATACCAAAATGCTTGGTGAGCTGTCAGATGCAATTACTCGCAGGTGGCTGATAGATGCAATTAAAAAGAAGGGGGATTTAAATCGTGGAGCGCGCATTCAACAACCGCCTTTTACACGAGATGTAAGTATAGAATATTTTCAAATCTATCATTAATTATTGATTTTGTTCATAATTTTACCATTCAAAGGGTTCTCATACCTTTCATTGTGATGATGCTAGATATATATACTGTATATTTACAGTATACTGTACATACTGGACATACTGTATATTTACTGCATGCATTTCTCATGCTAACAGATGCAACTGGTAGTAACATTTAAATTGCCATTGATGTAAATAGCACAAAAAAAATTATTGCCAATTGTAATGTATAGTTGAAGATCTGAGTATACTAGATATTGATTTAGTTGTCAGTAAATCTAGATATTAAGATATTTAATTGCTTACAGGTAATTTAATTCCTTTAACCTTTGCATATACTCAATACTTTTTTGATAAAAAATTTGGTATACCTGACATACTTATGTAGTTATTGAAAGACATTAATCTTGCTGAAAGTCAAAGTTCTACTGTACGTAATGGCAGAGAGAAAGACGAGAGGCATATCATATTGGTCAATTAGAAGACGAGTTCGCAGAACATTAGAACAAAATTACTCTGTGAATGAATTAGAAGTACCCAGTAATGAATCAGATGCAGAAACTGAAGAAATAGTACATGAAACTCTGAACATGCATGACCTCCCAAATAATGAACCCTGTGCTCAGAGTACCGAAAAAGAAATATCTGGAATACATGAAAACAATATGCATGTTGATGACTTTGAAATGCATTTTGATAACGCTCATGTTTTTGTCGATATCTTGGACACAGATTCAGATACAAACAGTGAAAATGAGACAGGTCAAAGTTTAAAAGAATCTTTAAGAGAATGGGCTGTCAAGAACCAAATTCCAAACATGTCATTATCAGAACTTCTGCAAGTTTTGCGTAGTTATCACCCTGACCTACCAAAAGATCCTCGTACTTTACTTAAAACAAATGTTAGTTACAACATTTTGGATAAATGTGGTGGGCAATATTATTATTTTGGCATGGCATCATCTTTAACCAGTCAGATTCAAGAAATTGTTACTTCACTACCAGAACAATTTTGTCTGAAGGTACAAATTAATATAGATGGGTTGCCTTTATTCAAAAGTACAAGTGATCAGTTCTGGCCAATTCTAGGAAGAATTCAAAATGTTAAAAACAACAATGTTTTCATTATTTGCTTGTATCATGGTCTGAAAAAACCTGATAATCTTAACGAGTATCTAGATGATTTCGTTAAAGAATACTTAGAAGTAGAAAGAAATGGAATTGAATGCTTTGGGAAACGTTTACGTGTCATCATTGATTCAATTATTTGTGATGCTCCTGCTAGAGCATTCATAAAAAGTGTTAAATCATATTCTGGTTATCATGGTTGTGACAAGTGCACCCAACATGGGGTCTGGTTAGGTAAAATGACTTTCCCCGAAACAAATGCCCAAGTAAGAACAGATGAATCTTTTTCTCAGCAAACTGATGAAGATCATCATTTAGACATTTCCCTTCTCTCAAGAACACCAATAGGAATGGTTTCGCAAATTCCATTAGATTACATGCATCTTGTGTGTCTAGGTGTCATGAAACGCCTTTTGTTGCTGTGGATAAAAGGTCCTTTACGATGCAGATTAGGATCACATGAAGTGCAACAAATATCCAAAAACTTGGTATCCCTTAAAGACCACATTCCTTCAGAGTTTGCAAGGAAGCCAAGGTCATTATCTGAAATAGATAGGTGGAAAGCTACAGAGTTTCGGCAGTTTTTACTGTACACAGGCATTATTGTCCTCTCTGGTGAAATCCATCCAAATATGTATCAAAATTTTTTACTATTCTGTGTAGGAATTCATATTCTTCTGAATGAAAGGCTCTCAAGTGAATATAACCAATATGCTCATGACCTGCTAGAAACTTTTGTAATACATTTTTATCAGATATATGGCAATGATATGGCTGTATACAATGTACATGGGTTGGTCCATCTTGCAGGTGAGGCCCATAGGTTTGGCAGTTTAGACAACATTTCGGCATTTCCATTTGAAAACTATCTCTCAAAATTAAAAAAAATGGTAAGAAAGCCAAAGTTTCCTTTAGCCCAAATTGTACGTAGACTGTCAGAGCAGGCAGAAATTAAGAAAACTCAGAAAACATTTCCCAATCTGACAAAACCCCACAACAATGGGCCCATACCTGCGAGATTCATAAATGGATCTCAGTATTCAAAGTTGGAAACAGAGAGATATGTCTTAAAAGTCAATCACAAAGACAGCTGTGTAAGGATAGACGGGAAAATTTGCAAAATCAAAAACATAGTATCTTTTGAAAACGGCATTTACCTTGTTTATAACATATTTGAAAGAGAGGAAAATGTTTTCACGACCCCTTTAGAATCTAGATTATTGGGCATTGTGAAGGTATCTAATCTAGGAAACAGTCTCCATGTTGCAAAACTATCTGAGTTGCAATCCAAATGTGTAGCGTTACCTTTTAAAACGAAACACATTGCAATGCCTTTTACTGATGCAGAATGGTGAAGTGATCATTGAAAATATTACAGTATGGGTGTAATAGAAAGATTGAATTAATAACTGTCAGCAAGATAAAAGTACAGAAATTATATTTGTTGGTAAATGTAATTAGCATCCTTTAAATTGTTTTCATATTATTCAAAGTACATTCAACTTATGAATGTTTAAACAAAATTATGATAGGTCAAAAAAGTTGAGATATGCAGTGGTGGAATTCACTGAGGAAGAAGAAGTGGAGGTGGTGCCTGTGAAGTGGCTAGCAACTGATGAAAAGACTTGCTACTGGCCAAATATGCGATCCACTGCAAAAATTTCCGGCTTGATAAAGGCTGAGGTAGAACCCAAGGAAAATTTTAAACAGCTTCCAGTCAGAGTCCTGGCCAAAGCAGGTATGAAATTTGCAAGAACTATAGGAAAGACACATTGTTATAAAATTGATGCTTGACTATCTGAATTTAGCTAACTAATATAATCATTTTGTAGCTGACTATGAAGATGCTAGAAAGAAATTGTCCAAAGCCATTTATACATCAGATCTTCAGACGGATACAGAGGAAACAACTCCTAAAAGAGCTAAAAGGTACTCATATGTTATGTTTCTTGATGTTTATATTAACTGAAATGTTTTGATTATTTCATCAGTTGTATAAATTAATTGTACTGATTTGATACCTATAATAATTCAATTACAGGCCAAACCCACGCTTCATCTCCTCAGATTCGGAGGAAGATGACACAGAACCTGAAAATATAGTGCACAGGAGACAGTCACCAAGGAAGCAAAAAAGAATAGTCCCAGATTTGCCTCCATTACCATCACTTCCATCAACACCACAAGCACCAAGACCTTCTGCAACTGTTAATACATGTGTATCAAAGGAGACTTCGGCCCTTCTTGACAGAAGTCCCATGAATGGCCAAGGTATTTTACCGATATGATTAATTTGTAAACCTTTGAATTGTAGTTTAAAGTTGTGAAAATTTATAATAATTGAAATTAGTTTACTAATCGGATAAATGTCTGATATTGTACATGTTCTTCGTTTCCTTGCAGCAACAGAGAAAAAACTTTTCAATTGTTTGGACAAGTTACTTACAACTGTAGAAGAATTAAAAGTTCAAGCTCACATTAATACGAAATTGCTTCAAAGCTTGATGGGTAAAATTGATGGAATTAATGGTCCTACTAGTCAAGACGCAGAGAGCTCAGACCCATTAGCAGTAGATTTCCCACTCAAGTCTAAGGAGGAGCTTGAAAAGCTAGAGGATCTGCTGCTGAGTAGTGAAAACACGAAAAACTTTGTAAGTCCATGCACTTCCGTTGCAAAAATTCTCCTGTAATTTTCATACACACACACACACACACACCGTCTCTCTCACACACACATTTGCTAAAAGCTAAAATATTGATTTGAATACAATGGTCGTAAATATTATTTTTGTATATGAAGCCATGTAGTTGAAATTGATAATGATATCATATTCAAAGTGTTTCTTTCCTCTTTTTTGAATACAGGTGAGGTCTCTTTCCACAATTGGAGGAGATAACGTAAAGACAAATGTTCGAAGACTTCTTGCACACCTCTTCTCTACAGACCTTGCAAAGACAATTAATTGGATTGGCAAGGGGGGAAAAACTGCATTTTCCACCTTGAAAGTAAAGGACATTTTGACAGGTGTGTAAAATCCAAATAGCAAACTTCTTTTTTTACTTTAAATAAATAAGTTTACATTGAAATGAATTAATAGAAGTAAAAAAACCTTTCAAAATGGCATCAAGGAATTCAGATTTATTATGGAAAGTTTATTTTACAGCCACAGTTCGGAAAAACAGATTGTGTCCATCAGCAACAGACGCAGAAATTTTTGATGTGGCAAAAACCTGGTTTAGATTTGCAAGTGACAGAGATGGGGGACGAAAGAAAAGGGAGGAAAAAAAGAAAGAAAAGGCCGTTACTGATGACCAATGTGGGACAGATGAAGAACCAACCCAGACTGCAACGATTTAAAACGTATTTTGTTGAAACATTGTGTGTTTTGAAAGACTACTGAAGCTTTTTATACTTGAAAAAATTTCTAAAGTAATAAACATCTATGTAAATTCTTTAATTATTATCATTATTTTTTATCATTTTTGTTCTAATAAGTGTTTTGAACAAAACTTTAAAAATTCACTGTTTATTTACTTAGCGGTACAATGTGTGGCCAACCTCACTATGTAAAATTTACCTGCCATTAGCATTTTGGATTAATGCTGTTCCAATGTTGGATCAACATAGGACTAACCTAATAATTGTGTTTTGAACGGTAGTCCAGCATTGGGCCAACGTTATCCTCCCGAAAAGGTATGTTGGAACAACGCTGTACCAACGTTAACATTTCAACAAACAGTGTTGTACCAAGGTTGGCCCAACATTGGACCGACGTTATAATCACGATTTAAACGGAAGTCCAGCATTGGGCCAACGTTATCCTCCCAAAAAGGTATGTTGGAACAACGTTGTACCAACGTTAACATTTCAACAAACAGTGTTGTACCAACGTTGGCCCAACATTGGACCAACGTTATAATCATGATTTGAACGGAAGACCAGCATTGGGCCAACGTTACCAAAAAGATGGTTGGCATTGGTTAGTTGGGATAACGTTGTACCAACATTGCCATAAAAACAAACAGTGATGTGCCAACGATGGCCCAACATGTTGGGCCAACGGCGCGCCAATGAGCAGTAGGACATTGGGCCAACGTAAATTGCCAACATTGGGCCAACATAAGCAACATTCTTCGGCCAACGTTGGCCCAATGTAGTCATGCTATCTGGGTAATTGCAATCGTTATATGTATACGGGCCTATATCAAGTTATTCTAATTGTTGCTTAATTTATTTCAGAAAAAATTGCGATGTTGATAAAAGTAGCAATTACAATTAAACATGACAAATGCACACAGTAAATTGTAAGTGGAAGTGACGTTTTCAATTCTCATGAAAATCGAAAATAAAATTAAGTAACTTTGAGTTTTGCATAATTTGCTACATAACTTATCATTGTATTTTTCCGCATGATATGCTCATAAATTTCTTTGATTTCCTCAAATAAAAAGCTAGAATATCACAATTACACGATTTTAGGTGCATGTACATAATATTAACTAAACTACATGCTGTTTTACACAGAAGAGCACCAAACATGAGCTTTAAGAATACGAGAAAAAAAAAAGAATAATTAGAAATTCTTCTAACAAATGCAAAATTTCTTCCTGTAATTTCATACAAATATTCCAAGCCTTTCTTTCGTGTTTATTTGACTAAGAGAGATTAAATTATTAAATTTCCTCTCACTGCGATACGTAACCCCCCTGAAATGATACAATGCTCTCCTTCAGAGTCGAGAATGGCAGGCCAGGGCTGGTGATGAAATCCATGATTACTCCATAACCTATTATAATATTAACCAAAAAATCATACACGATATTGTTAATTCGCAGGTTGTCAAATAAATTTAAGAAAAGGTCGGCAAAGATGAGTATGCCTAACTAAACTTTTTTATTCATAAACTTTTTAATTTCTAGAGTGTACAATCGAGCATCGAAGTGTGTACATGTACTATATGTACTAGTTTTTTTTTTTTTTTTTTTTTTTTGGGGGGGGGGGGGTTACCAGTTTTCGCTGCATTTGATATCCTGAATTTTGCATTGCATTTCTGATAATTAAACAAAGTTAATAGAATATAATTGGTGACAGTAACACAAGTGATTTATAAAACGAAACTCAAGCAATAAAACGTTAAAGTTTGTATTTTGAAAAATAAATCAAGTCAAGTCACATAAAACAAAGACAGGTTGAAACGCTCACACATGGACATACATACAAACGTTTAGGTAACTCGGAATAGTCCAGAGTAGAACTATATTTTCTTGAAGACGGAATGTCCAGTACATCTAATGTTCACGACCGGGATAGTTCACGGCAGTTTCATCACAAACGCAATTATCATACAAGTCGAACGCTCTTTGAGGTTGAGGATTGACACTAACTCCTTAGATAAATACTGAGTATCAATGTCCTTTTTACTGTTTTAACTTAACTTGATAGGTTAATAATTTGTTATGTTACAGCGTTTTTTTCCTTATATAACTGATACCGATAAACGGCACCGTTCCCAACGCCAAAAAACGTTAATTTTTCCCAATTCTGTGACTAAAAATTCCCAATTCACCTGTGATGCAACAGACTTCGACAACATCGTATTTCTTGTTAAATGAAACATTGTACAAGTTGACTAATTGATCACTTCCGCTTAAATCCAAAGTAGAGAAAGTCGTAATTTGGCGGGACATATGGGTTAATTTAGTTAGACAGTGCAGTGTCATACATTTTGACAAATTGAAAGCATGAAAATGTCAAAGCATGGGACATTGATATAAAAAACAATAAGTACTTGTTGCTTATTCTTTAAAACAAGGATTAATAGGTAATTGATTTAGAATAAAAGCAAAATACATTGCATTTGCATTAATGAGAGAAAATTCGCCTGTTTTTCTTCGATGTTATTTTTCCCAATGGAACCGGTATCGGACCCATTCCCAATTGGTGGAAAAAAATCGCTGTGTTAAAAATAAGCATTAGAAATAATTCTTTTCATAAAATTCAATTCTGTTACATATCAAATGGATTTGTAAAGTTAACTTTATGACAATTGTCATGCTGCAGATCTGTAGCTCGCTAGCTGTTCTAAAAAAAATTGAGATGGATCACCAGAGAACTACAGTGCCATCCATATTATCTCAAGTTCAGGCTCAGAAGGACAATTAAAAACGGTTGTAAGGAATTTTTAACTGTAGAAAAGTTTAAGGAATGTGTTAGAGACACACGGTAAATAATATTTTTAGATTCAAGCAGTTGAAAAACACGGATTTGAATATAGCTCCAGTGCAATATTTTTTTTAATATTTTCTAGTTTTTTATTCTTCGTATTTCTCAATTCATCATGTTTAAATAACGTGTATTTATTTTTATTAGGACACATTAAACCTTATTTGTCAACCAGTCTGACAGTGTCCATCTGTCACGAGAACTTTAAACTTGATAATAACTATTGAATGAGTTGAAAAAGGACTTTCATATTTCACATGTGCATTATTTGTGACATGTAATTTTCAAATATACTGTGATTTTTAACCCCGTGACCTTGATCTTGGAGCTTGACCTACTTAAAAAATAACAATACTTTAAATTGACCATAACTATTGAAAACTTTCATTTTATAAACATGTACATGTAATACCTGTGTCAACGCCTTTGAAAATTCATTATGATTTTTGACCCTTTGACCTTGAAGTTTGACCCACTTTTCAAAAACATTAACCATAGTTATACCTTTTGAGAGAAAAGAGATCGATTAGGGCTTTTATTTTACCACTGTGTATTACCTGTAACAACATTTTTTTTAAATACCGATACGCTGATTTTGACAACGTGACCTTGAGGCTTGACTTACTTTTCACAATTTTAATCTTGATCATAACTTTTGAATGAGAAAAGATAGGGTTTTCGTATTACACAAAAATCAAATGTATGTGACCTGTGATAAAATCATTTCAAATACGAGCATATAATGAACTTTGACCTTGAAGTTTAACCGGCTTTAAACATTGCTTAAAATTAATTGACCATGACTTTCGATAAAGAAAGGATAACACTTTCATACCTAGATTTACACATGTATACACGTATTAGCTGTGACAAAGTCTATCGAAAAAAATATAGCTTAAGAATTCGTCAATACGGTAGCACACAAATGGCTTTGCTTATCACCAGCGTGTGTCATGGTGTGACGTAAGGTCATTTTAACAAGGTCAAGGTCGCAAACATTCCTTTGCTATCTTTTTTAATAGTAAAACATAAATAAGATGACATCTACCCTTAAAAGATTGCTTTAACAGTAGAATGTGGCATGACCTTGACCCAAGGTCATTTCTCCTTGTCCGCAGCTCCGACGGAAGACCTACTCGTTGCTTTGCAACGAGCTCGGCTCTAGTTTTTTGATAACGTTTGTGATTTATTGGAGAGTAATGTCTACAGCATTTCTTTCATCTTGTCACTAATCGTGGCAGAATTGACATTAAATGACGGAGTGTGGACAAGACATTTATTAAGGTCTTCCGCTCAGGCGGAAGACCTTCTACTGATTCTGATGGTTAAGATTATTCCCTATTATTCTTTTTTTTTCCTAGACGCCAACTTTGAGACCTCGTAACTTGCTCATTTCTGAACGGATTTCGCTCAAATTTTCAGCGTTTTTGAACTTTGCAAAACTCTATTAAAATTTTTTCATAAATTTCAAAAATTCCCTTCCGCTTTCGAGTTATTTCCCTTTAATTGAAAATTTGGTACTGTTCATTTCCAGACAAAGGCTCAGAAACGACAAAAGCTGGAGCAGAAATTCGACTGCATTTTAATACTAGAAGAATTGAAGTTGTGCACATCGGTTTTTCTTTTTCGATTTCTGCTCTCAAAACGGTGCTAGATAGGGGTCAAAAATGAGAATGCCTAAAAGCGCAAAAATTTACATATATTTCCTGATGTATCTTTTAAACTAAAAATAATTTGTTAAGACATGATGAACAAATATTGTGCATAATTTTAAGATCTATCATTTGACATCATTAAAAAGGGACTGGCCCCTCAAATTAGGGGTCTAGGGCGCTTGAAAGTTTTTTCTTTATAACTCAAAAACGGTAAATATTTCGATATGGTTATCGATTTGAAATGGGTTCTTTAACATCTTATTGATTTCATGAAAACGTTATTTTGTTCGTCAGGTGTTATCATATGAGCAGCGAACTTCATAATCCATGTACAGGTAACTGATTTTATACGGCAAGTGAAGAATTCTTTATGCGTACGCGTATAACACGCATAACTGATATAAAGTGAATTAGAATAATATACCTAACTAAACTGAATGTTAAACTTTGTTGATATAAGTTTTAACGTATTCTCTAGCTGAATGTCATACAGATTATTCAGAGAAAACTTTAATTTCT